GTTTTAGGAGGTTCTCCAGCAAAGATACCAAAGCACAAAGACACAGAACTATCTCAAGAATTTTACAAGAGTTGGCTGCTGCTCATCTTCTGTTTGAACTCCAGAATTGTTAACTGCATAACAAAGTCGTACAAAGAGTCACCCATAAAGGAATAGATCACTAAAAATTGGGAATGAAAGTGTAAGACAGACATTAGGTACTAGAAAATTACAGGAGTCAGGTGTCTGTCACTCCTTTGTCCCTGTTTTAGAGACCCACATACTAACAGTAAGGGGTTTTTTTCTTAATAGGAACCAGCATCTGCAACTTCATTTAACACAAATTTCTTCTGTTTTTACAGTAACTGCAAGCATGTCCACTTTTGTGGTGAATTCACAATTCTAATTACTTTCAGTGGCTATCCAAAACCAACACACTTGACACAGTTACATTCCTAAAAGCTCATCCCAGATTCTAGGAACCATAGATTTTTACAACGGTTAATCCTGCTTCACCTACTGAGTTTACAGAACATTATTAAAAGGATGAAAAAACCACTTCAAAATACCAGTTATTTCTGGAAACAAGAAGCAGATGTTCTCCTCTGTTTGGCTCAGCTGTGCTAGAATACAAGACTGCCTTTGTTATGCTGTCAGCAATAATTTATTTATTACAGCTATTTCACAATGCCTATCAATGTACTATTTGTGCATGATTTACATTCATGCAGATCTATCTCTCTATATCTAAGCCATCAAGAAGCATCACATACACGCTCCAAACAGCAGACGCTGTCATGACACAATTCTGCAAATTAGGTTTTTTCCTCCTTCCACTGTATTAATAAAAAGAGAACAGGAAGAGAAGGAATTAGTATTGCCAAATGAAGTCAAATTAACATGAATCAAGAATTACTGCAAGAAGACAAAGTTAAGAAAATACAAGAGCTCAGAGTGTAAAAACAAACTCCAACTCTTTGAAGTCAAATAAAAGCAAAGCTTTCTGAACCACGAAAGTAAACACTGTCTAGAACAAAGTCATGAAGGATAAAAAGATACTATATTGGGAAAAGGTTCCATTAAAAATGGAAGAAAGCATGCTCATGGGAGGGGAAGAAAAGGCAAGACAAAGAAAAAGGAGCACAATCATTTGCTGTCTGGCCCTATCAACCCTTGAGTCCTTATCTGTGGCAGCATGAACAACTCCCCTAAAGACCAATATCAGAGCCTTTGTATGGATCTGATAAGGAATTCTGTGCCTCAAAAAACATTAAATCTTTAATGAGAGCACACACATGGTAACATAACCCTTCATCCTTCCCTCATACTGCTTTGAACTAAAGATTTTCTCCTATTAAAATATTCCCAAATTACTAATTTAATATCCCCACCTGTGATAAAAAACAGCTAAAACACCGCACAGTAAATCCCATACTCCCAAGCAAAAAATTGGAGGATTTGCATGTGTAAATACACACAGATTTACCACCACATAGACATCTGCATAACCCTGGGAGAAAAATGCAGATACTAAAATATTAAACAAGTGTAAGAAATCCTATTTAAATATAGGTATGATTTTTTTTTTTTCTTTTAACTGATTAAGTATCCAATTACTCCAGAGTTTCCTCCTTCTGACAAGACAGAAAGGATGATTTGTTAGGATAATCTGTTACCAAAACTAATATTTGAGAGAAGCCTCGCAAATTCTGCACTTTCAGGCCATACCTGAGAAACAGGTACACAGATTTCCAGTGTCAATCCAGGGTCACAGGCCATCAGTGAAACAGCAAGGCAGACATTTGGCTAAACGGGACTCACACAAACCCTAGAGCAGCATCTGCTACGTACACGGCCATCAGTCCACTAGGACACATTCTGGAACTCTTTCCACATGAGAAGACACTTGCATCACATATGTATGAACAGTATGCACCTGCAATGATGCACCAAAGGAGAGGAAAGGGAGAAAAATATTTCCCAGCCTTTGGCAGCTCCAAAAAGGATTCTAAAGAGAGTAACACAACAGCAATTACATAAAAATGTAAGCATCATTAATTTTTTGCTACAGTCCCTACAAATTCACCAAAATAATTCCCACTGGCAAAATAAATTGAAGATTATAACACATAAAGTATCTGAACAACAACTAAAAAAAAATTCAAGTGTATACATGCCTAATATGCATAACTTATACACTTTAACAATTAACAAACATTGGAATGTTACCACAACACTGAAAACTTGCCCTAGCACAGATTTTTCCAAACAAAACTATTTGTAGTATCAAGAACTAAAACATTTACTTGAGCAAGACCATGAGCTAAATTTCAAAATAAGTAATTTATAGAAATTTTTTAATATCTCCCTCCTTATTTTTGTAGGTCTTAGTAATTAAAACATTCTGTCAAGAAAAATACATACAATCAAAATCATACGGATAATTGTGCTACTTGTAAGCAAAATCTGGCATGTGGAGTGTTTAGATGTATCTTTCCAGAGGTTGCACAGATGACAGGAATGAAGCACCAGACCATGCTACTAATCAGCACAGCCCCAACCCTATAATTTGCAATAAATACCCAGGTAAATTGTTCATATAAACTGCAGGATCAGAAATAGAGATGGGGGCAGAAGGGACTGAAAGCAATTAAAACTCTTGGGGATGAGCAGCTTTGGCTTATCATAAAATCCCAATCATGGCTTGGGGAATTTGAGGGGGTTTATGTACAAAAACACAGTCAAAGTGCACGAGCAGCCCCGTGCAGCTGATTTTGTGTGGGTGGAACTGATGATACCTTCCCACCAGAGTAGGAGGGGAGAAATGAAGCCACACTTTTGTCTCTGTACAACTGAATACTTCAAGACAGGAGTCACCACATGGTTCATCCTGTGCAGGCACATCTGAAATGTGGGTCTGATCCTAATGGCTGTACTAAACAGGTTTCAGCTTCCCTGTCCCAAGTCTTGCAGCCTACAGAGGAAAGAGGACAAGTCAGGATGTTGAAAATAAATAAATAAATTAATAAATAAACAGATGAATAAATAAATAACATTGCAATTATTTTTTCCAGTTCACTTACTACCCTATATCTGTCTGTCCTTACATCCATGACCAGAAGTTTGAAAAATCTGTCAGTGTGTCTGTAACAGGAGATTCCATGTTTTGTACCTGAGCAGGTAGCACAAATCCAGACTGGGGACCCCCAGGTAAACCCTGCTATCAAATCAGGGAAAAGCTTTTTCTAAATATATGTAAACAAAAGTGATTTGACAGTAATTATCTACTCAACAACAAGGAGCAAGAACCGAGGACCCAATCCTGCCAAGTTTTAAGTACATGTTTAATCACAAGTAGTCTCACTGTGGCACTGTCTCTAAAAGCCTGACAAAACAGGGCCAAATTAACAAGGGAATTTAGATTTATTTTTTTAATCATTTTAGAAATACTATTATTTAGATTAGCAAAGATTATATTTTTTCCCCACAATTAAGATACCTTGGCAAATTCAAACCTCCACACAATGAGTCTTGTCACTCTCAATGGAAACCTACACAAATGCATGTAAACCCACAAGCAGTCAGTCATTGTGATACTGACAGTTTAACACTACAAGGTTAAGCAAAATAATTATTTTAAGGCTGTTTTAGCCAAAACAAGGTGAAAACCATAAGGAATTCCATGACAGCTGCTAGGGGAGAAATTGGGGATGCCTAAAAAAAAGAGAACAAAAAGCCCTACACAGCCACAGATGTTGGTACAGCAAGCAGGAGCAGTGGTGAGCAGAGGTTCTGGGCCAGGCCAGATTACCTGTTCCCCAAAGTCCAAGCCATGACGAGCCAGCAAGGAATGCCAACTCATGAATGAGACTTCTGTGATGAACCCAGTTGCCCAACACTCCAAGCCACATTAGCAAAGGAATTTTACCAACTGAAGAGAAAGAAAGGTCTGAAGCAAGACGGGAGAGCTAGAAGTAAGGAAAAGAGAATGGACACTGAGACTGCCTCATCATTAATTCAGAGACACAAGGAGGAATGTGCTGGATATCCCAAAGCAAATAACCACTGGGACTGAACATCTGTATTTCACTCACTAGGCTGACTTGAAAGGGAAGTAGCGACTCTGTCCTGGTAGGATGAACTCCAGAGCAGCCTCTGAGCAGCTCTTTAAGTAGCCCTTCCATAATTAACTTATAAGGAAGACCAGGCAAAGACATTCTGCTCTCCATGAAGTACCAAAGAAGAACTGATGCTTCCCAGTCTCCAAGAGAAAAACTCAAAAGTGTATCACTTTATAGCACTAATACTTGAGCACATAAAAAAACAAAAGAAATTACAGCAAGGAAAACAAAAAAAAGGAAGGCAAAGAGTAAGTAAGCAAACATACTCCGATCAGACCTTCAGCAACTGCAAACGATATCAAACCTATTTCATGATTAAGTTAATGCTCCATGACATTACCATTCCCAAAAATACATGGTTGATTACAGACTAGCTTGTGGGGAAGGGACAGAGAAGGCACTTAATTGGAAAATGCGTTTTATTGTAACTTACCAGCCTCAAATATTTCTACACTCCCACTCACTGCAGAAACATCTTTATGAAGTCTGGGAAGCATAATTAGCTTGGTTTTGTTTAAATCTGTATCACTGTACAGGTAAGCAAATCCTTTCAGCTCCCTAACTTTTCCCGTAAGTTTTGCATCACTGAAATATGCATCGTTTTACTTTTCGGTGATCTGCTTCTTGTTATTTTTCTTTCAATAGCAGGACCGAAATACTTCATGAAGCGCCTTGTGCCTGTACCCAGCGTGTAAGTGGGCGTTTAAACCACGGCTGGTCCTGAGAGGGCCAGCTTTGGAGAGAAATAAATAAATAACCGAGCTCCAGACACAAGTCTGCGCGCCAGCCCGGTCTGTGCGCGCACCGCGGACCCCGCGCTGTCGGAACACGGATTTACGCAAGGGAAAAGTGAGAAAGTAAATAAAAAGACCCGTTGGACAGGAACCGGAGCCGCCTTACCTCCGGAGTACGCTCCGCGGGCTTCTTCCGCAGCGCCTGTTTGATCCTGGGCTCCACCGGAGCGCTCATCCTCCAGCCCTGCGCCCCCCGCCCAGCGGCGCCTCGGAGCGCTTGGCGGGGCGCTGCCGCAGGGCGCGCCGCG